GTTAACCTATTACATGCAAAGGATGAACAGTCAGAATGTGCAAGACAACGCACTAGACTCATCACAGGAAAACAATGAATAAGAATCAACTTCTGGTTCAACAGAATAATACCTTCAGCAGAAGAGCATTGCATGACTTCTCCTGGATTGCCTTCGCAACTCTCTGCACAACATAATGATATTACAGTGATGCAATAAGTTTAAGTGCCGACCTACACAACAGAAGACAAATCACTCACGGTTGGGTTGGTGACTAGAAGGTCATCACCAACAATCTGAACTTCCACTCCACATTCTTCAGTCATCTTAGCATAGTGCACCCAGTCATCCTGGTCAAATGGGTCCTCAATCGACACAATGGGGTACTCACTCACAAATGACTTGTATACGTTCTTCAGGCTATCTCCAGATATCTTCTGAGAACCATCATTGTTCTACAGCAAGAAGAGGCAACGTCAATAAAACTCCTGAAAAGATTTTAAAAAAATCTTCACACGAAATAAACATTGAGACTACCTCCTCCTTGAAGTTGAGGTCATAGGTTTTGTCCTTGTCATTGTAGAACTCTGAAGCAGCAACATCCATTCCAATGACAACCTAGAATTTTCCAAAGCAACAAATCTCCTTCAATTACAAACTTAAAGGCTCAGTGAGAAGTGCACTACAACAGATTAATTCAAGCAGACAAACCTTGCCGGTGTATCCAGCCTTTTCAATTGCAGTCTTCAAGAGCTCAAGGCCCTCCTTATTCTCCTACAATATCAGGAAACAGAAATAAGTCAAATAAAACCCCAGATACGTTGACTTTCAATTTGTAGCAACACTATGGCTCTATACATAAACACATGACAGTTAACAGCTGCTGTCAGACCACCAAGACATAACAAAGCAAGGAAATCTGATCTCAAACCTCCAAGGACAGGGAAATACCTGAATGTTAGGAGCAAAACCACCTTCATCTCCGACATTGGTGGCATCCTGCCCGTACTTCTTCTTGATAACAGACTGTTACAGAAAGTGACAGTTTCGGTGAATTTATGTTTTACAAGATGACAAGAGACAAAAAAAAAACTAAGAATAAAGTATTACCTTCAAGTTGTGGTACACTTCAACACCCATCTTCATTGCCTCCTTGAATGAGGCAGCTCCAGTAGGAAGGATCATGAACTCCTGCACATATGCAAGCATAGGCATAAATAACACATGTGCGGAAACAACATGATGAAAGATGTGGAAATCTTAGTTCAGAGCATTGCCTGCATAGCAAGCTTGTTTCCAGCATGGGATCCACCATTAATGACATTGAACGCAGGAACGGGCAAAACCAATTGCTTGTTGCCAGCAAGGTTGGCAATGTGCTGCAGTGAAGAATATCTCATGTTAGAAGACAGGATAGCTAAAAGCAGCAAACACATGAAGAATGATCAGAGGGGATTAATATGCTGCATACCTGGTACAGTGGAATCTTCTTGACACTGGCTCCAGCTTTGCAAACAGCTAGTGATACAGCCAGGATTGCATTAGCACCAAGCTGAATTCACAAAAGAAATCAGACTGTTAGAAGGGAATCTGCAAATGGAAACTAGCACTTGCTAGTAGACCTCTAAAGGTAAAAGTCATCATGGGTTATGCTATATACCTTTTGCTTGCACCAACCCCACTCATTCTTGGTTCCATCAAGCTGCTGAACCATAAAGTTGTCGAGCTCAGTTTGAGCGGTAGGGTCCTGTGTAGAAGGGAAAAGAGCACTTAGTAAATTATGCATTCTCAAATCTCATGAAAGGAGAAAGGGGGCAGCAAAGGCAATACTAACCTTGCCGACCAAAGCGGGTGCAATAATGGAGTTCACATTGTTAACAGCCTGTGACAGAACAGCAAAAACATGTAAATATCACAAGAATTATATTATGCATGCAAATGGTAATATAATGACAACTGCAGTAGAAACCACCATTAGATGCAGTTATTGTAGTGAAACATCAGGCCATAAAAGCAGTTAGTTATTCTAAAGTCCACTAAATGATCCCCCACTGTTCATTTTCTGGTGGTCTTCAGCAAGTTGGTTTATTAGCAAGGAAAAATATATGACATGAGATTTATAACCTCCCCAAAAATCCAGTCAGCAGCAACAATGTATCCAAAGAAAAACCATGAAGAGACAGGGAACACAATAAAACATATTCTAGTTCACATTATAAACATTAACAATTTTTTTTATAAAACCTGGCACAGAGTAGATATAGTAAGTTGTACAGCAGCAGGAAACATTGCTTGGATGAAAGCAGCATGTTAAAATAAGTTTGGTCATAGTATTAAATAGCTAAGAATTGTGGCATGGATTTACAGAATGCGAGTATAAGCAGCAGCCACATTAAATCACCAGGAACCGCAACATAGATTTACAGATTGTGAAGGTAAAATCCGGTCAGTCAAAAGAATGTAAACCTTGGAAACACCCTTGCCCAAGTAGTCAGATCCACCGTCCCTCAGCTCCAAAGCTTCATAGACACCTACATAATAAGAGGGATGATTCAGACAAGATTAGCTTCATTCAGTCAATAAACGATGACAGGGACATTGCGTGCCTTCACTAGACAGGAACCAAGGCAAAAGCTGATTCTAAGGCTGAGAGGAAAACAGTGATGATGTAACAAGAAAATGACCCACCAGTCGATGCACCGCTGGGAACGGCGGCCCTGGCAAAGGTTCCATCTGAGCAGCACACATCAACCTGACGCACAGAACAGAGAGGTTAGCACCGTCATCTTACATTTTCGCCGCACCAAACAACAAAACCAGAGCATCTAGGCTAAATTAGCTATATATATACAGACAATAAGCATCTGGCTTCTGCCGTTCAGCAAGCGCAAACGGAGCATAAGGATGACGGCAAACCGATCTGTGGATACAACAAAAAATGGATGCCAAGCAGGCAACATGAAGATTGCACGCGCCATGGCATCTGACTGAACAAACCACCTACCTCGCGCCCAAAAAAAAAACAGACTACTAAGATCACCCACCTACCCAAAACCCCTCGACTCTGACCGAAAGGGTCGGAAACCCTACGCCCTGCTCCGCAGAAACCCCAGCCCACGCCCCGCGGACCAACCGGGCCAGATCGGCCGCGCAATCGAAAAGGCCAAGCCGCCGCTACGCACGCACGCACGAGCGCGGCGGCCCCTACCGCTACCAGATCGAGCCGGACCGGGCCACAACGCACAGATCGGGGAGGCGGGGAGACGGACGGGATGCGCGCGTACCTCGACGGTGGGGTTGCCGCGGCTGTCGAAGATCTGGCGGGCCTTCACGGACTGGATCGTCGCCGCCATGGCCGGAGCTCTGGTCTCGCGTCGCGTGGTTTGGAGAGGAAGCCGAGATCGAATCGAATGGAGCGGAGAGCGAGAGGGATGGACGGACGGAGGGGGCGGCCCCTGCTCTCTTATAGCGACGATGCAGACGCAAACGGGACGGAGGCGCCGCTGGTTGTTGGTTTTGACGGGCACACGGGACGCCGCGTCTCGCTGCGGGGTGGGGCCGGCGAAGGGCGGTCCTCCCCGGGGCCCGCGTGGAAGGGGCGGCACGTGAAGGGGCGGCCGCACACGGGAATGGAACAAGTGGCGAATATGCCGTGGGATTCACAGAGCGGTCTGGGAGGAGGGGGGTAGGGGTGGGGTAGGCTGGTGGGGACACGTGTCGCCTGCCCATTGGGCCGATCCAGGTGACATCGGGTTAACCATCAGCAAGAGAACAAGAAATGGCACAAGAGAGAGAGCCAACTTGAATTTTTGTTCGTTTGCTTATTTGTTTATAATCATCATCATCATCATCAGATCTCATACTAATGTCGTATTTTTTTTCATGGTAATACGTGTCTCATTCATATCATAAAGATTAAAATACAAGTCACGTAAAGACCGACATGACAAAACTGTAAAGATAGCAGAACATATCTGAGCTTGACACCAACGCCCATCACCTGCCTCCTGCACCACGACAGCAGCCACCGAAGAAAAGAATGATGGATCACCTCCTTACACGAGCTCGACGCGGCTCCATCGCTGATATGCAGCTTTGCGGACCTCCAAGGTGGCTCACCAAAAGTGAAGCCCTTACCGTTGAACGAATCAGACCGGGGCAACACCCCGGACACGCCATCGAACTCCAGATCTGGCACCCCACCGTGACTAAGACGTCGCGGAAGGAAACCATACCTGCCATCCACGAACCACGAACCCAGCACATGTTCCGTCTTCCAGATGTCGTCGATGCAGACCATAATCTGCATCCGCTACTGGACTACCTCCCAAGCTCCGCGCCGACGCTGGAGCAAACGCCGTCGCAACAGCGGAGCCCGAGGACACAGGTCCACCACGAGGATGTCGCCGTCGCCACGCCATCCTTGCTTGAACAGACTGGTTTCCAAATCCATCCCCAACCATAGGACCAATGGCCTTGTCAAGGAAGGATCAGAAGCGTTGTCATCGTCGCCGCCGAAACAAAGACGATGAACAGCCTAAAAATCTAAAACTACGAGGGAGTAAAAACGATCCACACGCGTGGATCCGGCGACCCCCCTCACTACCGACGACCGAGGTCGCCGGCGGGGGGGAGCCGCCGGGGGACGGCGCTGAAAGATTGGGTCTCCTGGCGGCGGCTAGGGTTTCCAGCCGCGAGGGCCAGGAGGAAAACGATTCGATAGAAGTACTCTAATGTCGTATTTTATTCATCGAGTGTATAATACAGTACAGCCGTAAACATCGGGTTGTCCGCATCGTATATACCGGTATAAATACAGTACAATTTATCATCATTATTATTACTGTTATATGACAGGGAGATTTACATCACATCACACGGCGACCGTTGCTCCCAGGCGGACCGTTGCTGACAGGCAGGAAGCAAAATGCGTCTCAGATTTCTATGCTGGGCCTCGGAGCATTCCATCCGGCGAAAGATACGGAGGAGCTGTGTGCTGTATTTTCTTCCCATCTTTCATCTCACTTGTTGGCGAAGGCGACGCCCTTGCGGATGCTCTCGGCGAGCTCGCCCTTGGCCTTCTCCAGCCCGGCCCTGCACCACCACCGCCCCACGCCGACGATCAATCAATCAATCAAGACAGCACAAAAATCGCAGCCCCGTACAGACATCCAACGATCAACCCTAGGCCACGTATTCAGACCTCTCAAACTCGTTCAGCGGGCCGAGCGGCAGGACCTCCTCGACGCCGGCCCGGCCCAGCCGCACCTTGGACGCGAAGAAGGCCAGCTCCGTCACCTTCAGGACGGGGCGAGGCAGATTTCGCGGGGTCAGAAAACGCTGCGAGGGGTCGCCTCAAGGAACGATGACCTGAAGGAAGAGAATGGGTGTCACCTGAGAGGCTATGTAGGAGCACTCCACTATCCCGGCGTCGCCGCGCAGCCCTCTCAGGCACGCGTCCGCGAACCTGGCTGCTGCGTAGGCCTGAGGAAAACAAAATTGTAGCGTTACCGGATCGATCCATCATTTGAAAATGTATGCACAGAACAGCGATGATGCGCGTATGAGCTCATGGAGACCAACCATGGAAAGAGTCGCGGATCCCGCTCCTGCTTTCGCCTGAAATGAATTTGGGTGGTCAGAAAGGAAGTTCGTTGCATTAACATGTACTCCCTCCGTCCCAAAATACTTGTCATTAAAATAAATATAAGGAAATGTATCTAGATGTATATTAGTTCTAGATACATCCCATTTTATCTATTTTGATGACAAGTGTTTTCGGACGGAGGGAGTATACAAAAGTGGTCATGGTTCCTCTAGAACACAGCACCAACACTGGCCAACCAGCCAACAGCTAGGGAAAATGTATTGACTGTCAGGCAGCCACCAAACCAGAAAATCTGTCCGCGGCTAGCACTAGAAATTAGTATAGGGGCCCACCTACGCGGGTAAAAGCATTGTGTAAAAGAAGGTTTCTGATAAACTTAACAGTTAGCATGCACCTGATAATTGACCTTTGTTGTCAACACTGTGAAGCTCTCAAATAAACTAATATATGCATCTTTCTCTATTATAGAACACAAGGAATTTGGTAATTTCACATATCCATCTCACATCTACTGAGGTCAAACTCTCATGTTCTCAAAACATATCTCATCAGATCTTATTCAGCTTTGCTAACTATAAGCTCAAGAACTGCAAACCAGTATGCCGGACTCTCAAGACAAATGAAATGAGAGATATCTGAAGAATGTTTGAGCTGCACTGCTACTGCAGGAGGGACGTTATCAATTGAGTTGGTCATGTTTGAACAACGTGTCGATCCAAGCTTTCAGCAACATAAAGGAGAGGACCAAGTCTGTAAAGGCATTGAGATGGAATTTCAGTCCTCCCTAACTTAGCTCCAATCTATTGCAGATCCCCAGTTCTGCTGTGAGTTCAGATTAATGACGTGTTCGATTCGTAAGAACATTCTAGCTCTTGCGATCGGACGCAATACAGTATTCATAGCTAATACAAAACTATTACTTCGTCACTAAGCCACTGTTCAGAGAGAGCAATTGCAAAAGAAACTTCTAAATTGACTTTTTATTCCCTCCACTGTGCGTACAAGATATGGCATTAGATGATAAGGGAAACCATACCTCAACTACTTCTGTCCCACCATTCTGTATGCGGGAAGTGAGATAACTAATTTCTTCTGAGGTAAACGAACAGGGAGGATTCACCTACAAAAACAACAAAGTTCAAATTTCAATGAAGGAAAACATAAAAATGAACAGAGTAAAGTACTACTTCCATCAGATGGAAACAATTTTTCAGCTACATATATGGTTCAAAATTTGAATCAGCAGCAAGTGCTAATAACCTGTGAAAGGAGTGGTAATATTGTAACTCCTGCATGCCCACCAACAACAGGAACATTGACATCTCTGGGGTCAAGTCCAAGAACCTCTCCCTGTAGACAGAGATGACAGGAATAGGAATTTGAGAACCTGCCCATATAGAAACTAGCAATATAATTGGGCACTATGGCAAACAATTTTGAAGTACATACCACAAAGGTATTGGCTCTCACTACATCAAGTGTTGTCACCCCCAATAGGCGCTTAGGATCATATGTTCCAGCTTTTTTAAATACTTCAGCAGCAATCGGAACAGTGGAATTTACAGGGTTACTGATCACATTCACAATCGCATTTGGGCAGCATTTTGCAATTCCCCCGCAAAGAGTCCGAACAATTCCAGCATTGATGTTGAACAAATCATCCCTTGTCATCCCAGGTTTCCGAGGAATGCCAGCAGGAATGATGACAAGATCCATTCCAGTAAGAGCACTTTCCAATTGTGGCTGACCCAAGAAGCCACGCACCTGTAGAAATTATACCTTAGCATAATTACACCCAATGATCAGATAACCTTTAAGGTTCAAGAATCAGGTGATAATTGTATGCATAGGCTAGGGCGGACAAAGATATGTGGCAGCTATTAATATTGTGCCAATCAAATATCTGCCTGTTACATAAAATACAAGTAGGTTATATGTTTTCCTTGCAACATTATTTATTGTTTTCAGATTTAAATCCACAATTATTACTGAATGATCAGACACTATTCTTCGGAGACCTCATGCCTTTAAGAACAATGCATGATGCCACTGGAAATTGGCTACTTGTTTGCTGAGTTATGGATTATAAGATTGTAACACAGAAACAACCAGCTGGGTAATGCTAATTTCCAAACCTCTACCTTATGTACCTCGATTGGTTTCTTTAATGCAAATCAGGGAAGAGATCCCTTTGCTACCCAAAAAAAAAAAAAAAACCTACCGTACGAGCTAAAAGGACAGTAGAGAAGACATACATTCCTTCAGTAATTCATTTCTTCTAAACAAAACCTACACGGATCACATGGAGAGCAACTGTACTAGAGGTCTACCAACATGCAACTACAGTATCCTTTCAGAATCAATTTTCAGTGAGCAACTTCGCAGAAACAGGACATAAACTATAGTATCCTTCAAGGACAGTAGAGAAGACATACATTCCTTCAGTAATTCACTTCCTCTAAACATAACCTGCATGGATCACATGGAGAGCAACTGTACTAGAGGTCTACCAGCATGAAACTATAGTATCCTTTCAGAATCAATTTTCAGTGAGGAACTTTGGAAAAAGCTAAAAACAGGACATAAAGACAGGGTCAAGGGGCATACCACAGCACCGGTGTTCATATGGCTAATGTCAGCTGTAACACCAGGTGTGTTGACAACATCATACAAATGGAGCACCGAAACAAGAGGGTTCATCTTCATAAGCAGCGAGAGGGGCTGGCCGATCCCACCAGATGCACCCAGGACTGCAACCTTGAACCCTGGTGCTGCACCTTTTGCACGGCAATTAGAGCCCTTCAAGATGGCCACCTCCTCCTCCTTCAAAATAAGGAAAGAGAAAAATTAGCCTAGTAGAAGCCAATTCTGGAGTGGACGATACCTTTTATGCATTGGCCAACCAGGACAGTTCCACAGGTTTAAGTAAGTTTATAAGAGCTAAATTTAGGAAGTTGTCTGGTATAATCACCAGCTAAGAATAATTCAGATGATTCTGAATTTCCCCGACAGCTAGATAGCAATGCTGGCCTGAAAGTATATCATAACAAGATATCGTGATTGTACTCGCTCGGAGATCTACCTGATGCTCGCTAAATATGTCGCTGACTCAACTGCCAGAATCAGAGAATTAGCAACCAGTAGTTCGAAATTGCATCCCATCGTCATATGTTTTTTCTACTCCCTCCGTTCACTTTTATAAGACCTTAAAACATTTCAGACAATGTGCAAAACAGCCTATTTTGTGTTGTCTGAAACAACTTACAAAAGTGAACAGAGGCTACTCGAAAGTCGTTTCCTGGTCCATGGATCGCTAGCTCCGAAGCATACAGGACATGCATCTTCGGTCACACGAGGATCCTGGAAAGCATGGATGCGCACAGGCTAAGCAGCTACGCGCAGAAGCGCCGCGGGAAGGATCTCGCTCCGGATGCCACCACGGCCGGCGGCGGCAGCTAATCCTCCGGGAAGGATCTCGCTCCGACTTCCAAATCTGAGCAGAGAGAGGAGCAAAGAAGCAGAGGGAGGGAGGGAGGGGTGGTTGTGGGTTCGTGCCTGCGAGGTGGGCGGGCGGAGGTGGGAGGCGACCCTGGCCATCCGCCTGGCCGCCGCGGAGTCGGCGCCTTGCTCCATGGCCGCGTCGGTTCCGCGTGGTCGCCGGAGACTCGGGAGGCGACGGGAGAGGGAAGAGAAGAAGAGACTCCGGGGAGGACAGCGGAGGTGGTTGCGAGGGCGGGAGAAAAGGGGTAAAGCGGAGGGGCCGGATGCAAAAGTTGTCTTTCCGTCCGTTCGTTCAGGAATGCGTGCAAGTTTTGTTTTGCTTCCATCATGGTGTATGGTGTAGGTGGATAAAGATAACGTTGATGCCCATGCATACAAATTTAATTTCGAAAATACATTTATTTCGCAACTATCATTACACTAGCTAAATGCCCGTGTGTTGCCACGAAATAATAAAAAATAATCATTTTACCCATCAGATCATAGTATTAACCTAAATACTACTCCCTCTGTAAACTAATATAAGAACGTTTAGATTACTAAAATAACGCGCGCGCTATCTCGTTGAATCGACCTTGCATCGTGGCCGTGGCTGCTATCCTGTTGGCAGACCTCTTTCCTTTCGTGTGTGCTAATTTCTCTCATGGTGTGTGCCTGGATTTATACGTGTACTAGTTGGCTCATGTGATGTGGATTGATCTGAGTACTAGCTTTGGTGCTTGCCGTGTGCGTATAGATCTAAATCATGTGCATTTATATCTGAATGCTAGTCACACAGTTCATAGAACTACAATTTGTTTGGGACATGGATAAGTGCCGAACGTTGGGCCTGGGAGAACCCCAGACCGAACGACTCGTTCGTCACGGGAAAGCCTATCGATCGAACGAATACGTTCGGGACGAGAAGCCCCCAACACGAACACCATCGATCCCAGGGCCTACAGCCTTTTTTTTTTCATCGAATCCCCTATCGAGCCTCCACCTGGGCCAAAAAAATGCCTAATTTTCCTATGACGACTCTAACAACATATAGAAAACTGACATTTTGGATCTCATTTTCAATAGCCAAACAAAAACCCAACAAAATTGACATAGCTTACAAAAAAGGGGAAATTGCCGTGCTGGGCTATAAAAATGCCAGCGTATAAATCAGAAGTTGAAAGCATTAAGTGGAAATTGCTATGATTGTCATTTGAGTAAAAAATTGGCAAATGATAAGACAAAAAGAATTTTGCCATGGTACTTCAATTAATCTTGCCATGATCCATAAGCTAATTTTGCCATTGTCAATATAGTAACTTTGCAAGATTTTAGAGAAAATAAAAAAATGCATTTGAAGAAAAATGGTGGCAAACTATTTGAAGGATGGCAAGTTTGCCATGTTTTAGAAACTTTATGAATTTGCCATGTTTTTGTGATCATTTGTCATGGCAATTTTGGAGAGGTCTAAAAATATGGCAAATTTAGACATGGGCTTTAGTTAAACTTGACATGTCAAATATTTAAAGAAAATTTTCATTTACATAAGAAAAGGTGGCAAATGATAAGAGAAAAAGGAATTTTGACATGGTACTTGTATTAATCTTGCCGTGATCCATAAACTATTTTTTCATGATTTCATTCGTTGCAATCTCCTCCCATCCCGAACGACCTCTCCAGCTCGCCTTCAGCGGACCAACCCAAATGGCTCCGACGAACCAGCCCAAAAAGCCAATGAATTGGAGAATTAGAAAAACAAATAATTACATTTTTTGTAGGCCCAAAAACTGCTAGTGCCTCTCCCAAAAAATTGAGAGAAACAAAAAAAAGGCCTAAAATGCACCGAATCCAGAAAACTCTCCTTGAAAACAATCTAGAAAATCCATAGTACGCGACAAAAAGTTGCCATGCTCTAATGAACAAAGCAACCATATAATCATGAAAAAAGTTATATTGCAGAAATTTATATGATTTGCCATGATTTTCATACACATTTCATTACAATTGAGTGTGGAAAAAGCTTGCATAATATTATGAAAACACAAAAAATGGACATATCGGATAGAACAAAAAAAAATTCTACAAAAGTTGCTATTGGGCATGTATTAAAAAATCTGAACAATGACATATCAATGGATCAAAATTTCTTAACTTTGCCATCTTCCAACACACAAATGTAAAAAGCATAAAAATTTCACATGGCAATTTAAACTAAAATTTGCCATGACAAAAATGGAGTAAATTTTTCCATGGCAAAACAAATGGAGTAAATTTTGCCATGGCAAAAATGGATTAAATTTTGCCATGGAAAAAATTAAAGCTTGCCATGGGAACACAAGTATATTTACCATGCTGCATAGTAAAAAATTTCCATTTTCCGGAAAATGTAAATTTGCCATCATATTTAAATTAAAATTGCCATGGCAAAAATAAAGTAAAATTTTCCATGTCATTAAAAGTATGCCATGGCAAAAAAAAGAGGTAAATTTTGCCATCGCAAAAAATGGTGTGATTTTGCCATGGAAATAAATTAAAAATAGCCATGGTACACAAGTATATTTGCCATGCTACATATTAAAATTGTCATGTTCTGGAAATGTAAATTTGCCATCATATTTATATTAAAACTACCATGCTATATACAATAAATTTGCCATGTCAAAAAATTTAAGTAAATTTGACATGTCATTAAAAGAATAGTTGCCATGGCAACGTTTTGAACATGGCAAAGTTGCCATGGCAAGTTTGTCATGTTTTCAGTTAAAAAAGTGCCATGGCAAATCACATGAATGTTGTCATATAGAGCAATGTTTGCCATGTTTCTGAACATGGCAAAGTTGCCATGGTGCCATGTTTTCAGAAGAAAAAAAGTGCCATGTTTTGAACATGGCATAGTTGTCAAGTTAGAAGATCAAAGTTGCCATGTTCTCAAACAAAAATGTAATTGCCATGGCAACACTCTTCAGATAGATAGAACAAAAAAGACTCAACACAAATGTTGTCGTCATGGAAACCTAAGCTTCAAGCCTCCATGGCACACACCTACAAAGCTTCTAGTTAAGAAAAAACATGGTACTAAATTAACAAAACAAACATGGCAGCATAAGCTTCTAGTTTCCATGCCAGATTTGTATTAAATTTTGACATGGTATTCCAATTAAAAATGCCATGATTTTGAATGAGAAAATTACCGAGTATGTAAATTAACACAATAATTATGAACAAAATTGCCATGGCAAATGGATATGTAAATTTGCCATGGTGTTTTAATTGAAAATGCCATCCTTTGTATGAAATTTGCCATGGTGTATGGAAATTCGTATCAAATTCATTTCAATAATTTCCATGGCAACTATTTACTAAAACCAAAAAATGGTAGGTAATGAAAATTGTAAATTTGCCATGTCAATTGATGAAAGTTTGCCATGGCAAATGGTCTTACTAAAACGAAAGGGTAGGCATTAGAGATTCAAAAATTGCCATGTTTTATGAAACATAGATATGCTTCTTCAATTATTTGCCAACCCTTGTTATCTACAAGTGCCCACATTGTGGAACTTATGACTATGATAGGGGCTAGTGATATGGCAATTTTTAGTGAAAAATGATCTATGTGTCATGGCAAAAAGCATTAAAAAACATGGCAAATATGTGTATAAAAAACAGAAAATGTCATGATGCATAGACAAAATACTTGTTGTGATATTGAGTAAACACAACATGGGGCATACTGGAGTAGCTTCAGTCAGAGCCTGGTCTGATTAGGTAACAGACACAACCATTTGTTTTGAACCATAGCAATTGGTACCTTTCCCTAACATCGGAGCTGAGCGCGAGCCCCACGAACTCGAATTCCTTGCCGCTGAAGATTCAGTACCGGAGGCAAACCGTCGATGCAGCACCCAGAGGAGAAGCCTCAGATATGGTTAGTGAAGCGCGTTTCTCTCCACGGGTTCATATCTACCAGATTCCAGCAAGTGAATCATATAAGCTACACTAGGGAATGTTGGAAGCTCAAAAAAATGCAATGAGGAAATGGGGGTTGTACCTCGAGCAGCAGTACACCATCTTCGCGCCCGTGGTGGTTGGGCAGCGCCGGTGAGCCAATGACCCCCTCCCCCACTCTTCGCTCCGACGACGCAAGCGGTAGGCAACAGTGGAGTTGAGGAGGAGGGCGATCGGCGGGTGGCTGGAGACATGGAGGTGCAGGGGACAGTGGTGGCTCCATGCCCGTCGGAACTGGCCTGAGATGCAGAACAACCAGGTGCGGACGAGCAGCCGTGGAGCTTCCCGGCGACGCGTGCTCACGGGCGGCCTCTGTCGGCCGCTGCTCTCCCCGCGGCGCTGCAGCCTGGTGCATGCCGGCCGCTGCCATCCTGCTGGGCCACATCCTGGTGCCCACTGGCCGCCGCCCTCCCCGCGGCCTAGACACCGCACTCGTGCCATCCCCCACATCATCGGCCGGCAGCTTCTGCCATCCTGTTGGGTCACAGCCTGGTGCTCGTTGGCAACCGCCCTCCCCGCAGCCTAGCTACGGCAGTCGCACCACCGCTGCATCGCCGGACGCCAGCTGCTAAATCACAGTGGGGAGTGGTGGGGTGGGGTGGGGGGAATGGGAGTGGATAAGAAAATCGTTCGGGAGCCTCTGTCTTAGACCCGAACGTGTCCTGGTGATGACGTGGCGATGTGGGCTCGTTAAGATTCGTGCGACTGCGACGAAGGCGTTCGGGACGAGGAGCTAGAATTCTGACGTTCGGGAGTTATTGATTCCGTTTGTTTGGTACCTCTTTTTTGGTTGAGTGGTATGTAATACTAACATTGACATATTCAACCGATGTTTGCACAATCCTCAGTTTTTAGGGCAAGCCGGTAATGTTCGAACCCTCTCATTTTTGTAGTTGGTCGAAGTAGTAGACGAACTGAGATGATAGGTCATATAGGAGGAAAAGATGCACATCGACTATTAAATAGTTGGTCGAGGCAACAAATGCAGTTGCACATCGTCTGATAGACAGTTCATCGGGGCAACACACACAATTGCACATCGTTTGATAGACAGTTGGCTAGAGCAGAAGATGAAGTTGAGGTGGTGAAAACCGCACATCCACGATAATCAGTGAAAAAGTTGCACATCGAGCTTTAGTCAGTTGGTC